TGTTCACAGAAATTAGACTGAATTAAATTTGCACAACATATTTTTAAGTGACTGTCTTTAAACTGTATTATACTGAAATTATTATATTTACATTATTAACAGTGATCATTTTCCTTTAGAAAATATATGGCAACTTACTGAAGCATGATCTCCATTCTCTTCTTATACACATCCATATCTACTTTTTTTGAAATTTTATGTACTGCAGCTGAAAAGAAAAATTAATTTTACTTCCACAGACATTTACTGGGAGGGAAAATTGGCTAATTGATACAAGCTGGTTCCTAATTCACTAATGTGGTATTACCCCAAATAAGGGAAAAAATCCTGCAAGAAGCCACACCTGAGATTAGCTGACAGAAACACTACCATGAAACAACATGAGAAATCATGCAAAAAGGCATCTAAATTAGAAAGAGGAATAAATTATGGTGGGAAAAAGCTAGATATTGTCACTAGCAGACTGCACAGATAAAGCTGGGACTACCAAAAGTCAGGCCAAGTCAGATATTACAATAAGAATTAAAAAAATTAGCAAAACAGTACAAGATTTTTTCCAGCCATTTAAAGAAAGATAAGGGGGTAAAAAAAAAGGAGGTCAAAGTACCACAAAAAAATAAAATTTCTGTTTTTGGTTAGTTTCAGTAGAACAAACACAAAGGCATAGATAGAAGGGCTGATATATACTGAAAATGACCACAACCAAGATAAGAAAATTACACTCTGAACTTGCTTATATCAGGGGTGGACTGCAGAAGCTTTTCCCCAAAACAAAGAACTGCTACATGAATTTATAAACTTAGGAGAAAGAACTTTTAACAGATTTTTTGAGTCAAGTGTGGGACTAAGCACCTACGGAAGTGTGACTGCTATTTTATATATAATTACAAAATAAATAATAAAAATACAAGAGGAGTAACCCAGGGAAAACAAATGGCTATTTGTGCATATAGCTCTGGTGCTTTCCATGCTTGTTTGGAAAGAAAAATCTACTAGAAGTGTTACGAATAAAATGTCACATGGGGTTCATAAGAGACAGATCAAGCCAGACTCCTCACTGTCAGTCTCTGGTAATTTAAAAACATCAGCTATTTTAAGGATATGCTGTAGACCTAGACCATCATACTTCAGCAGAGGATCTGATACAGAATGACATGAAAAACCCTTATGTAAGATCAGAAGATGTGGAACAGCACAGAATTTTTAACATTGGAACCGGTTAAAAGGAAGACGATCACAGAACGAATTAATAGAGGCTGAAGGGACAATATGTATAGCACAGGATATCAGACTGCTTTGAAGGCTTCTGGGTACAAGTGCACACCTCACATGTGTCCTGGGGTTACGTCAGAAGGATATCCTCACCCCCTCCCCAGTACCCTATTTTTCACACAAAGTCAGGCACTAAGGTCACATGTGCCACTGATCCCCTGTTTGAGGGCACAGAACTTACCTGTTGGGCATTGCAGACACAGCTTATGAGTTTTTAAGGTGTGACCTTGTGATTAATTTAATATGATCACTACTCATATTGCCCTTTTGCTGAAAACCAAACCAAACTAAACCAAAACAAACCAAACCCAAATAGTATTGATTTTATATGAACACCCAGGGAACAGAATTTTGGGTTCTGCTCACCTGACCACATCCAAACTGGAGATGAATAATACTCTAAGATCGACACTCAACTGTCACTGCACTAGGTGAGCAAGAGAACACAAAGGCAGAATTTAACAAGCTCTTTCTACGTAAAATAATAACATATATTCAAAGTAATGATGCAGGTAGTGGCAAAAAAAAAAGTTATTTCAAACCCTAGAAAATAGAAGAGAGTCCCTTATTTTATTTTGATAAATGGATTATCATTAAATTATCTGTGCAACTGTGTTGCCAAGCTTCCAACGTTTATCCTCAGTGGCCAACCCAATATTCAATACTTGCTCTAGATTCTTAGTACAGTGACATACATGTTCAAAAGTAAGACAGTGGAACAAAAAAATATAAACTGTCATCACTAGTAATCCCCACAATATTGCTGTGACTCTTGAACAGCAACATCAAACCCAGTATCTAATGATGCTATCACTACCCAATAATATGACTTGGTTGCAGGGTCCGCGTAAGCATAACTGTGAAATTAGTCTGACTTTTTTCAGTATTGTCTACCTAACTCTTTCTGATGTACAGTCATAGGAATACGACTCATGAATGATAATCTTAACTTTCAGATGCGAAACTGAAATATCTAAATGAGATATCATAAATTGTTTATATACAAAAATCTAAAGTGAGTAATATTTAACTTATTTTAAATAAGGGCACATTTTCCACAGTCACCTACCAGCTACCATATAAGTGAAAGTTTCAGCAAATGAAAACTTTACAAATAATGAAGACCAAGTTGTAATTCTGTTTTTAAGTAGCAAATTTTACTCCCTGAAAGGTTCATAAGAAGAGGAAGTACAATAGTGGGACTGCAATCTATTGAAAGGAATTATATCCCTCTAAGCTTGATGAAAAAATTAAGAAGAAATACCTCAGTAAAAGAAGCATACACTAAAGTTACTACCTTTCTGTATTTTGGGATTTGACTGAACTTCCAGTATCACTGTTGTCACGGTGTCTGCATACATATCATTAGCAGGATTTGCCACCCACTGGAAGATGAAAAAAAAAAAATCATAATTTGAGCCCATTATTTGGGCTGAATGAATAATGCAACATAAAAACAATGTACCATTAATTGCATTCTCCTATTTGCTTTTCTCTGAATTCTAGCTTCAAATGACTGTCATATATTTTACACCAAATCATTAACTACTTTTAACTTGGTATACTCCAGTAACTCCCCAGAAAAAATTCAAGCTGTTGAATGTTTCTGAACACATTTACAAAATAGTTATTGATTACCACAACTATGTGGGGAGGGGGGGAAGGAGGGAACACCATTTGACATTATTTCCAATTACTAATTGCCAAACAAAAAAAAGAGCACCAAATCTGCCACTATACTTCAGTCACAGCAAAAAAGAAACTGGTCAGTGGCTAAATGAAATGACATGCATCAACACAGGACCATAGGTCAAGGGGAACTTTATTCTGGCTTTCATTCTATTCATCATCCAATAGAAAACTACTTAAAACATTTAATTCTGCGTGGCATCTATATGATACTATTTTTCAGAAACGGGAGAACAAAATAGTTCTTTCTCCCTCACCAATGCCCACCTCAAGGACGACCATGCCTGGTTCCTGTATCACAGTAATAGTTTTGAAAACCTTCAAGGCTGGTTTTTGTTGGATTTCTATTTCTTCTACATCACCTAAGAAGCGATAACAAATAGTTAGCAAGGATAAAATTATACTGAAAACAAGACTACCTTTATCTGCATAAGAAAAACAGGTTATTAGAAGAATGCTGTGATTACCATCACAACTGCACACGGGCAGCTCACAACTCATTTCTAAGCCTGAAGTGCATACTCTCTTCCCTTGCCTGACAAAACTATTTTCTTTGATCTGGATGGTTTGGTTTTTTCACAGTATGTAATATTGGCCATATAACTTGTTTTGAATTCTCAAGGTTGACTGGCTTAGTACACCAACAAGTGTACACCAATGAAAAAGAAAACAAATGAGAAATTTAGTGCTCCGTTTGTAGAATTAACCAGCTCCTCTTATACCCTTAAAGGATAACCCATTATTTACATAGAGAATAAAAGAAAAGCATTTGCATGCTAGGTAGCGCTCAGGCTATGAGACCTGAACACCAACTGCATACCAGTTCGCTCTTCACTAGTGATATGAATTAGATTCTGACACTAGAGAAGAAAAAAAAAAGTCCTCAGCTTTAAATCTGGGAAGGGATCCTGCAAAGTGTGAGTGCCTTTAATGATGTAGGACAGAAGTTGCCCCTAACCTTTAAGAGAGCCAGACAGAGGCACTGGGGATCACACTAGGGGCAGATTTAAATGACTTCTGACTCAGAAAAAAACAAGAGTCTTGACTCTCGGGGAGGGACAAAAGAGGCTGTCTGTCACAAAGGAGTACAGAGTTTTTATTTTTATTAATTGTATGAGACTACCCATTCTATTTTGGGTCTGGAGAAAAAAGATCAAGTAATACATTTTACATCAGAGTGGCTATGGCACTCACTTTGGGAGCAGACAGGAGATAAAAGTCAGCCTAGGCTCTGTATTTGTATATATTCATGATTTTGTAGTATAACTACAGTAGAATCCCCCCAAAAGGATGTGTCATACTCATGAACGGGATCTGGCAGAAACTGCATAATCTAATGAAAGTTGTAAGATATGAAACAAACTGGCACTGCAGTTACTGGCAAAGAAGTTTCTACCCAGAAGACCTCTGAAGGCTATAAGTTGTTTTAAAAGTTGGCCACTATAACTTATGAACACATCTTTCCAAATACGCACCAGTAAGTTTTTGTAGCTGATAATAAAGCAGATTAAAGGGGCCGGTGTATGGAATGGCTTGTGTCTGTGTTACAGTGCTCATCGCCAAGTCTGTATAATCTGAAAAAATTTTAAAAATTATGTATTAAAAATTATCCCGTTGAATTTGCTTCCTACAAATAAAATTGTCACTATCAATAAATAATGGCATCAATACATTCAAGACAGAGGGTTGAAAAGGACCGTTTGTGAAGAGAAGGTTGGAGGGTCTGTTGTAAGAGAAATAAGGTATTTGTGGTTAAGAAACTAGCAAGAGTATGTTACTTTATCATAACAGTTAAAGGCAAACAATGAACAAGGACAGTAGAATTGTTTTCCCCAAAGCTCTTCTGACATTAATACTCTATTTAATTATTCTTATATCTTGAGAACAGATCAATTTCTTTAGTAATGAATAGCATAGGAGCAATACAAAACATTTTCACAGCACTGTAGCTTTTTACACTAAAACCCAAGACATTTTAGAAACTGGCAGGACAACTGATCAAGGTGCTCTTCTGTTCTCACTGGCATGTTTTATGTATGTTCACACAGAGGAAGAAGTTTTAAGTAACCTTAAGGGGAACGAAATTTTGCTTCTTTTCAGAAAGAACAGAAATTTTTCTAAACTTCAGTGGGCAAAGAACTGAATGTCTTGCTTCTCACTTCAACAGTTCAGAGCTTTTGGCAAAACCAAGCCAGACCAAAACAAAGTTGTTCACTATTTGCTTATCAAATGCAAAATTACAGAAAAAAAGACAGTATTGTATGTGTTTTAATGACAGCAGGAGGATACAGGAGGCTTCAATTACCTACTTAGCACATTACTGTCTCTACTTACTGGAGAGATCACATGGAGAAAGAATGTGATAGTTAAAATTTCTTTTAACTAGGATTCCAGAAATTCTCTGTCCTTGCTCTGGCTTCTTATCCGCTAAAGATCCCATCACCTGGGAAGAAATAAACAAACATAGTGCAACAAGGCAATCTGAATTATTCATAGCGTAAAGTTAACCATGGAGATGAAATACAGTTTCCTCAGAAAAATCAAACATATAAAATTAACTCTGAAAATAAAGGAAAGTCAGAGGAACCAACAAACACTCTGAGATGTAACATAAGAAAAGACTGGAACAGTGAAGGGCCAAAAAAACCGCCAAAAACCCCAATCAAAAAAACCCCCAAACATTAAACCCAAGACATCTGAGTCCCTGGAAAACCTACACGATCCAAAACCAATTAAAAATAGAGGCTTGGAAGAGAGTGCACACTTTTTATCCCAGAGGAAAATAACAGATGTTGTACAGGTAAGAAAATATTAATTTCATACCTTGGCAAGTTTTTCTCCTCTGAAGTTTAATGTCACAGCTTCAGTATTCCTAGGATTATGAACTTCTATATGAACTTCATCATTATCCTCATACTCCCGTATCAATGCTGCTTTCAATCTGGCCATTTCATTCTGCTCACCATGAACTAAAATCTATAGAAAGAGGTTTCCTTTTAGCAGAAGTTATTTGTCCAACCCAACATGTTTAGGAAGCAAATTATCCAAGAAAACTGCCATCTTGTACCTCATCTTTTTAAAAATGTAATTGCATGAGGTCACTATACATGAAACATTAGCTCAATTATACTACAGACAGTTCTATGTGTGTCTTTGAATTCCATGCATTATTCAAAGGTCTAGATTTCATGACCCTGAGTATTAGTAGAAAAATACATGCAAATAAGCTGAATGCATTACAGAGATTCCATTTAACACTTCATAAACAAACACCCTGTTATATTATGAAAGGGAAATATTAAGTTCAACGATAAAAGTTACAGTTAGCTTTATGTATTTGTGTCTGCATGTAGATAAACATATACATAACAAACATGCAATGGAGAGAGAATGCTTATAAGTTCACAATTTTCTTTGCCAGGTTAAATCCTCTTTTGCTATGATTTGTTTTATTTCTTATCTGTGCTTCCACAATGATTCTCCACCCAAAGTCTCAGCAAGTTTCAGATCCTAGTCCTCACGTTCACACTCTGGTCCATCACAGCTCCTGCTCCCTGTGATTTGCTCATGCTTTCCCCCCCAAAGCGCCCCCAACATACTTTCTTTAAGATTGGCCTACTCTTTTTCAATCAATGCTTTCTTGTCTATTTTGGGGAAAATTCCCATGGATTATTCCAATACCAGTGTCCCCAACTTAATGTTTCCTATACTGTACCTTCTTTGCACGAACACTGCTGAAACAGATTATGGACCATACCAATTTCTTGAAAGTCATCCCCAGATATCCCACTTGCAGAGAGTTGAGAGCAAGTTCATCTTTACTTTGCTAAGGTAACATGACGAGAAATGGTTAAAAAGTCCACCTTTTATTATTCAAAGCTTAGGGATGCTAGCTACAGCTAGACACCAGTATCTGGCTTGATGACTCAAAGCTGTGAACTGGTTTGATGAATCCCCCTCTGGAGAAATGGGTAGCATGTATACTAACCACATGTGGAGGTTTCAGGGCCCGGATAAATTCACTAGTTTGTTGATAATCTGTGTGAGCAGAGAAAGAAATGTAATCCACAGACATCTTCAGTGGGAGTTTTTGCCCTGACATAGTTGTGATCTCTTCAGGTTCAGACATGATGTGCTAGAAAAAAAAGAGCACTGTAAATAAAAAGTTGAAAGCCTCCTACATACACCATACAACTGATGCTTTACATTTCAAAAATCAATGAAATATTGGCAGTCAGGTTAAATGTGAAGAACAGAAAAAAATCTCTCAAATTTCAAAAAACACACACTCACAAATGAAAAAAAGCATGCACAACACACACCATTTCATCTTTTGCATCCTCAGTATATCACAGAACCATAGAATGGCCTGGGTTGAAAAGGACCTTAAAGATCATCTAGTTTCAAACCCCCTGCTGTGGGCAAGGTTGCCAACCACTAGAGCAGGCTGCACAGGGAGTTCATTCTTTTATCAAATACACCTCTCAAATTTGCATTGGAATTACAACAAATATGTGATTTCCATCTCTAAAGGCAAAACTAGATGCTCTGGTTGCCCTTAACTGCTGGAATTTGGAAGGAAGGATTTAATTCTCTTCAACCAGACAGTGGCACGACATGCATAAGGCAGTCTCTGACACATAAGTAGTGTTAGATTTAATATTGACTCCTCCAGAACACAGGGTTAGGGCTCCCCTCTCAAAAAGTTAAATGGTGGAGAGTCTAAGGATGGAGAAGAGTATCAATCATCCTTTCTCATGACAAGTTAACTGCTCACAGAAAATATTCTATATAACACTACTGAAAATGGCCATATGCAATTTTTCTTCTTTTTCATTAGCATTAGCCAAAAGCAATTACTTTTCACTACATAACTATGCATACCTAACAACAAGCTTCTCAGTAAATCCAAATAAAGCCACTTGCTACTGGCCAATTCTTTTAAAACATAATATGCATACTACTTAGTGCTAAAAACTTGTGGTTTATTAGCAACTCACCTTAGCAAGCGTTCCTTCAACGCAGTACCCGGCTATAATTACTCCATTTCTCTTATCTGTGCACCAGCTCTCAAACAACTCTCTGGATAAGCCACTCTGCATCATACCTGGGGAAGCCATCACAACACTTGGGCCAATATCATCAAAATGATCCATACTCTAAATGGACAAACAGCAAGAGCAGCAGTTACCATAACTCACTTAAATGAGGGACAGCCGAGCTGCACCCTTGAACAACATACAAGTAGAGCCCTATGTTCACAGATTATACACCCCTTCATAAAAAGTGCCCTTCGCAGGGAAGTTCCTCCCACTGATGTGCATAAAGAGCAAAATATAAGCACAGGGATCTCAAGTGGACAACAAGTTGGGGCATAAGCTCCCCTCAGACAGCCCTCTGAACACTGCGATAGCAGATAACACAGATAAAACGTATAACTAATCAATCCATTAGGACAGTAAATATGCAAACTATTCAGCAAATAGGAGCTCTTCTGTCATCCATCCTTTTCTTTAAGACAACCTTATCTCCAGCTTACCTTCAGGTTACTAATATGCTTGAAAACAAATGGATTGTTGATGTTAATTTGCTTGCGGATTTTGTCATTCATGGCATTGACATAAGTCTGATAAACTGCCATGCATTTCTTTGCCAAAGAGGAGGCATAGTATATAGGGATATCATGGAGTTCAGGATGATTCTGCCAGTATTCATCTAAAAAACAAAAAACAATTAAAAAGAACAAAAAATCACCCAAAAACCCCACACAATCACCCCTGCATTATCGCCAAAATGCATGTTTCTCAGAAATGTTAATACTTCTTGTAAAACAGATTTAGCAGTGTGGTTTTTTTCATTTTATCCCAGAAAATCATACACTGTTTTTTTACACCTACTCTACTAAAGAAGGAAAAGCAATCACCAACTAAAAATGTACACAACTAGTACAAACAAACATGCAAACAAACAAGAAAAAGATGAACTTCAGGTATTTTTGGCAGGTCAAATTCCAATCAATCACCAACTTCAGCCACAAAGTATAAAGTATACAAGATATTACACAGCAATAAATCGATATTTACAACAATGCAAGTTTTACCACACCGCTGCAATAAAGGTAAGATGTCTTTATCAAATACTAATTTTACATCTAACAGCTAGGGACATGTGCACACACATATGTTGTTAAGAATTCACTATATCAAAGTTCTGGAAAACAAATCCATGGAGTTGAAGGTGTGAAGGGAATATCCAGTTATCAAGCCTGGCTTCCTGTATATCACCAACATATTTTACAAGCTTAACTGAAACAAAAGCAGGAAAAAAGCCTCCACTAACCACAACTTATTTCATCACTGATGACAGTAGCCATGACCTTTAATAAACACAAAGAGGAGATCTGAATGCAGCTGTACAAACATAACTTATTCATTTTCCCACTTGGATACAGGTCTGCTAGTCTAAAACATAGTTCTGTTGCATAACTGGGGAGCAATTGTCCAAAAGAGTGGTATGCTCTTTGGCTATATTTGTATGTTTAAAATGATAAGGCTTTAACCTAACAGCTTTGATCTGCAGATAAAGCTTTTCAGAACACGTCAGGGAGTCTCACTGCTATGAACATCTTAATAAGCTCCAGTGTGAGGTAGAAACAGCCAAAATAAGATAACTAATAGCAGGACTTACAGTAACATTAGAAGACTGCACCCATCACCATAATTTTCTATACCATAATGCAGTACTGTATTTTTTGTCAGACACTTATGGAAATAAGAAAAAGATACACAGAAGCCTGTAGGCTCAACTGGAGGCATATGAGATGCAATTGCATTTTCTACCTAATTAAGCATCCAATTGCATGTCTAGCTTTACTAGATGTATTTTCAAGCTTATCTTTAGAAACTCACTTTAGTATCTACAGCAAGGAGAGACCAACAAATTACAAACTAATGGCTACACAAGATTTAAAATGTTCATTTTTTTATCTCCTCTATAAAATAAAAAACCTCTCCATCAATGATAATAAATAATCCTAGAACATCAAATACTACCCCATGACTAGATCCAATTTTCTTATTAACATTTGAATAGACCAGTAGCAAATTTTGAAAACAAACTAGTTTTTAACATTGAGCTAAGCTGAAATGAAAACTGAGAAGAATTTCAAGTGTTTCAGGTAACACTTTAGATTCAACACTCCTAAAAATAAGTATTTTAATTTTGTGATATTTATTTTTTGATCTTGCCAGCATTTGCATGAGCAAAAAAAGACCCGTGAAAATCACGTATGTAATACAAATTAAATGTGTTAAAATGAAGCAAAGAAACTTGGAAATAATTTATTTAAAAACTGTTTTTATGAAGTACCTTGTAACAACCACCTATATATTTCATGAGAAGTGGCTTGTTATGATCATATATAATTCCCCTCCATCCCCCATTTTTACTCTTCTTAACAAAGCCTAATTTGTTTTTCTATTATTATTAGGACTTTAGAAACGCTGGAAGTGTCTGTTATTGTCTTCTCAGCTTTTCCCACAGACTTCTTCATATAGGTTTGTGAATTAAAGGGCAAAGATAGTGAAAATTTGGTACAAAATATGCCTTTTTTCAGCAGTACAGTTTAAACAGAACAATTGTTGTGATCGCTTACTTTTCAATCAGTAATAATCGTCCCTATTTGCTGAAATCCTGGTTCAACAAGATTCAAAAGCCCAGTACACACTACCATGCCATTACCATTCCCTTTCTAGGTTTCTGTCTGACCTCACAAAGCAGCACTGCCTTGGTTGGTTTACTGGATTTTTTGCATTTGAACAAACATGCATTATATATTTTCAGGTAATCAACATGCTTGAAAACGGCTGAAGACTTGTTTAAAAAATGTTTATATCTGAAAGACTGCACATGAAAACATTCTCATTTAACTTTACACTTCTTTTATTAAGAGGAGCTGGGAAAGTACATACCTAAAATTAAAAGTAGTTCTTGAGCTCGACCCAGGGCAAACACAGGAATAAGACCTCTGCCTCCTCTATTTACAATGTCATGAACAGTATTGCAGAATCTTGCCTCTCGCTCTTCCCTTTTTTCATGAATGTGAGTACCATATGTGGATTCCTACGTATAGGGAAACTGAATATTAAAAGTACTGACACAGAGACTAATTCTCGATCTTCTCTGAATCCAACTAGAAAATGTAGAGAAACGTATCAGTGTTAACATGGGAGGGGAAGGGGTGAGGTGATTTGGAAAGACAGATCCTGTTAGCAAAAAAAACCCCCACGAGTTAGATTTATTAATTATGATGCTTCTTTTAAGAGGTTTCAAGTTTAACATCCTTTTTTTCCTAAATGGAAATGCTACCACTGCTTTGATGAAGGGGTTATCACGTTAACATGGCTCACTAGTGGCATGTGTGCCACAGTTTAGAAACACCTAGTCTAAAATACAGGAATTATACAAAATACAAGATTTTGATGTGACTTAAAATGAAATTTTCAGTTACAGGAAGCAGTTAGAAGAGACACAATACATGAAATAATTTTAAGCATTAGTCTGAAATATTCCACTGTTTGTTTCCAGACAAAACTGTTACTTTTAAAATTTTCCCCAAGCTTCTGATTTTCCAAACATGGATTCCGAATAAAACCATTTTGCTCAGAAAACAAAACAAAAGTATGGAATAGCACTCATGGTACCCCCACCCAGTACAAATTCTCAAGAAACATAGTTGGAAGTAGGTTAGGATCTACTAAGAAAGATATCTGGATAAATTGGGTTTGACCAATACACCTAGGAAACACAAGTCAAAACCTAGTAAATATCCCATCTTGTAAAGGTTTGTCTAGAGGCTTAAGGAACATCACCAGAAGAATTATAAAATGAAAATTATACTTTTTAATACAGTGAAAAGAAATGAACACCCAAGTGTTCGGATATTTAACACAAATCATGTACTACCATTAAATCTCCACTGTCCTCCTCATTCCATTTTAGCTTTAATTAACACACCCATACATATTTAATTAATAATATAAATAAGCTATTTTTTAAAACTTACAATTATAAGAATATCGGGTTTAATATTGGGAATCTCAGCTGCCATCAGATGTCTGTCTTCCTGTCTTGAGAAATCACCTGTATATAAAAGCTATTGGAGACAAAGAGAAGCAGTTACTCTGATTACAGGTTCTACCAGGTTGGCAGTCTTTAAAAAACTGTTGTATAGGAATGATATTTTTTAACCAAAGCTGGTTTTAAGGAATTTATGATAAAAAGGTCACTTGTACTTTAATTAAAGATTCTTCTGATGTGGACAGTGCTTACAATATTAGGTCAATAGTACTACAATCTAAATATTTGAACAACAATAAGTAAAGGTATTTCAAGTAGTACCGTAATTCCAACAGAACTAGGTAAACAATAATTAAAATTTCCTTTTTCGTTTGGAATATAAAAGTGCCATTTTTAGCCTTTTGCATACATGCACTGACTATTAAGAAGTAAAAACTGACATAAAAGAAAATACAGCAGGTCCTAAGTGGAAGTAAAAAGTAGATAAAACTGCATTTACATATCAGAATGCAAATATAATGAATAATCCAGTAAAACTGCTTATTAAAAATTCTTCTAAGATTTTTTGATGCTAAAAATAAAGCCTGTAATCTAGCGGATTTCCCAAGTGGAATGATCACGTTCCCCATTACACCAAGAACTAATTTGTAACTGTTAGTAATTTTTAATGGATTCTTAACTGCAGGGTGCAATGCAGCTCTTGGTGCCCAAAACGATGGTTTCAAAACTGAACATTTTTTACTTAATCATTCCATCAATGAAAATGTGAATAATAACAAAACATATGGTCAGCAACAGCAGATAACTGGTCTACAGGTGACCTACTATCACATTGCCCATTTGCTTCACAGGGAATGAAAGAAAAGAATGGATATTAAAACCCAATCCATTTGAATCATGCATAGTAAGAGTGAAACCTTTCTCCATCATGCCTTAATCAGAAAAGAAACAGATAAAAAGGCAGTAGTAAGATATCCAAATTTTATTGTAATCATTGTAAATTCAGTTCTATTTCAACACTTTTTTTAAAATTTAAAAATTCTCAATCATTATAAACCATGAACAAAGTCCTAATAGACAGCAAGCCTCAGGACCACCATCTCTCTTCCCTCTTCAAGGCTGTATGAAACTTTTCTTGGGCAGCAATTATCCTACTGAACTCCATAAGATTAGTTTCAAGTATCTGGTTTTGACACAGTGCTGCCTGTGATTATTCGATGACTTAATTAATCTCTCTGTGGCTAAAATTAATAATAATCCTATTTCTTTACGTGTTTTAGCATAAGAGCGTTATGAGAAAAATACAACTCACATACTCTGACAAATGCCATTTAAGCACTCAGACAGGCAGACATGGTAAATCAGAATTACAACATCTGTGTATAGCTTTTACTAAAATGCAGTCTTCCATAAGACTGCCTCAGCTATCAACTACCTCTGAGCAGACCAGCAAGAAAAACTACATGTTTACTGGTTCCCAGTCTGAGCCATAACTCACTCCCATAAAATCCAAACCACCCTGCCTGGTTCAATACATGTCTCACTCGCTAGTTCTCATCAATGAGAAAATACAAGCTCTAAGTCAAGGCCTCCCACCTTGACTTGAGTCCAAGTCTATTTGACAGCTCCAGCTACAATGGTGGGGCTTAACAGACAATAAAAAAATAATTAATGATTAAGATAGAATTCAGGCTTGATTTCAAGTTTATAATAAAAAGAAAATACCTTCACACCAGCTATTTCAATCATAAACATGGCTGCTCCCAGAACGTGGCCAGCGTGGTAACACCAGAATTTGATTCCTGCCACCTCTTTCACTTCATGGAAGTTGATGGTCTCAATCTTGTCCATGCTTTCTTCAAGGTCTGTTTCTGTATATAGCATGTCATCCGCCGATATATTACTGGATATAAGTGAAACGGCTAAACATCAGCTTATTTTACCAGCTTAGGTTATATAACAGTTGTAAAAAACACTTCCTGGATTTTTCCCCACCAACAGCAAGACTTCCATTCAGTAACTCTATGTCTCCCATGTTAGAAATCAAGACCAGGTACTCTAATGCAGTTCGTCTAAGCAGAGTTAAAGTATCTTTCTTTTGAAAGGCCACACTGGAACAGCCTTTTCAGTTCAGGAGCTGCTCTGCATTTGTCTAAAAGTACCAAGAGATTCCCAGCCCTGGACTGAGATCTGCCACTTAGCTTGTAACAGTCCTCAAAAACCAAACTCAACCACAGTTTTCTCACTGGCCCAGAACAAACAAGCTAAAAGAGGACTATTTATCAGGTTTCTGACCCAAGCTACAATCTGCTAAGTTGAGATATGCTCAGGACCATTGCACTCACACAGAAAAGATGTGTCAAGGCATGTAACAGAAGGGAGAGAAACCCAAGAACGTGTAAGTAACAGAGCACTCTTTCTCTATTTAATATTTAATCTGACCTTGTCCTGAAGAGTGATCCGTATCTTTAGGGGCTTAAAATTCACTACTTCTGTGAAGCTTAACTAAAAATAGACATTAAAAAGCATGAGAACAAAAGAGTGCCTTAAGAGAGACAGATGGGGAAAAAAAGGGATACTGTTAAAGGTGCAAATAAGGCAAATGAAAAGAATTAGAGGAAAGAAGGAAAGATATTTTTTTTTATTACTGATAGGAAATTATTTGACAGACACATTATCCACAAGGCAGTAAGATGATTCATTACTTCTAACCTGGTTATAATGTTGCTACTTGTGGCCACATCTAGGTTCATACAGCCACCTTCAGTGGCTTCATCTTAAGTTTCTTATTGGATATATAGGTGAAAAATAATTCAGGAGCTGAAGAGACAACCCATGGGTCAGCTTACCTGACTTTGACATAGTCTGAAAGAAGCCATCTGTAAATAGCTTTTGTGGCATGAGTCATAAACGTCCTTCCTTTAAAACTTGTTTTCTGCAAAAACCATGGTAAAGCCCCACAGTGATCTAAATGGAAACTTAAAATAGACAAACAAATGCAATTAATACATTAACATTACACAACACTACAATATATATCATATAATTCACTTTACTGGATTAACATAGCATCACAGAATTTTCAACCTCGTTGTTAACTATGCTGGTCTATATTCTGTACACTAGTGACTAGAAACACAACCCAGAAAAGGAAAGAGCAATACAGGAAATTCTCCATTAACTGTAAAATTTTACCCATATAATATCAGAATTAACTTTTTTTTTTGTAATTTACATATAAATTTAGAGGGAGAAAAATAACAGGAACCAGGAACACAATAAATGTCAATGATTCAAGAAAGCTGACAAAGGTGATCCCAAGTTTGCATGTTGGACACCATGAATAAAAACATGACCTACCAAAATAAAATTATTTGGCCACAATTCTAGTTTGACCTGTCTTAAGGAAATACTTTTGAAATACAGGTAGATCAAGCATATATCATGAAAACTCAGTATTTTATACAGACCCAGTTATGACTGGTTAAATCATTTACAAATGGCTCTCCCAATCTTTCAGGCACTAAGCAATATTTAAACCACACTCAAAGTTTGCGTAAGTCTCTGAGAACTTTCTTCATTCAAAGCCAACACAGCTGTGCTGGTTTTGGGTGGGGCAGGGTTAATGTTCTTCATCATAGCTAGTATGAAGCTATGTTTTTGCATTTGTGCTGAGAGCAATGTTGATAACACACTGACATTTTAGTTGTTGCCAAGCAATGCTTACATTAAGCCAAGGATTTTCTCAGCTTCTCATACTTTCCCTGCCCTCCCGGCTTCTTCTCTACAAGAAGCTGGGAGGAGACACAGCCAGGACACAGGATGCAAACTGGCCAAAGGGGATATTCCAGACCATAAAATGTCATCCTCAGTATAAAAGCTCAGGGAGTTGGCCTGGGGGTGTGATCGCTGCTCGGGGACTGGCTCAGTGTTGGTCAGTGGGTGTTGAGCGGTTGTATCACTTGTTTTTCTTGGGTTTTGTTCTTTTTGTTTTCCTTTTCATTACAATTAATTATTATTAGTACTAGTAGTAGCAGCAGCAGCAGTATTTTATTTTATTTCAATCATTAAACTGTTCTTATCTCAACCCATGAGTTTTCTTACATTTTTCCTCAGATTCACTCCTCCATCCCCTTGGGGCGGAGGAGTGAGCGACCGGCTGTGTAGTGCTTAATGCTGGCTCCTCCGTGGCTAAACCACGACAAGAGCAAAAACCACAACCAATACCTAGGCAGAAAACTCATTCTAGAAGCTGTCACAATGGTATTAAAGTAGGTGAGGCTAAAAAAGAGTCAGATATCACAGCAAGCTCAAAGCAGAGTTGTAATGTCAAAAGTGACTGAACACCCTTAATTTAAAATAAGTTGGAAACTAAAATTTTGTCATGTCTTTGCCATCTATACAACACCTATTTTCAGTCTCTCTTAATAACCTACAAGTGAACACGGCTAAGACCACAACCTCAGTATATTTGTTCTTTAAGGAGCAACTTACTGACTAATTAGGAGGAGATCAATCTCAGCAGGATCTATCAAATCAATGTAAGGAAGAGCATCCATTCCTTCCAGTCCCGGATGGATTCCACAATCAAGCTGAAAAATGAACAAAAGTTAAAGCTTCTAACAGAATATATGAAAACCCCTCTTCCATTTTGGTCTAAAATATAGTTACTAGAGACTAGTAACTTTTAGCATCATGCAAAAAAAGTACTTTTTCCTTAAATACTGCTTTTAGCATTGGATTTCACATCTTGGGCTTCTGTCTAGATGACTTATCTCCACTGGGAAATGGAACACCTTTCAAAAGAACCCAGTCTTTGTTTATAATTTTGTACCTATGCAAGTCTTCATTCACGCTTCAACAACACTTGAATATACAGAACCAGTGTATGTAAGTTATTTTAGCCACTATCTGAGAAGACAGCTAGAAAAAAAACATCTATGTGTTTACATGTGAGTTTACACATAACTGCAGGTAAACATTAATCTTAGGTTCCACTGAAACTTAATATGTGTAAATTTTAGAATCCTCACTTAAGACGTACATTCTCTTCAGGGATATAAATTTCTTTTACAGGACAGCCTCTGTAATGCCTACTATCATATATGCTATATTGTTCCAGAAAGCTACAAAATATGCCTCTTCTAGCAGAGCAGCCAACTTCAGTGCAGAGCCTGAATCTAACCCATAACATCTTTTTGTGATCTGTAGTACTGTAATGAGAGGGCGTACAAATACATTCATGTAATAATTACCATTATTTTTCTTCCTTTAAACTCCAGAATAATGCATGACCTTCCTACTTCTTGGCCAGCACCTCTGCAAAAGGATATCAAAGTCATCAAAATTAAAACAATGCACACCGTATAGATGTAACTGTACATTAGATGCATTTAGTGGAATTATTCTTATATGTAGAAATAATGACTGCACAGTCCTTTTAAGCTCAGATATTTAAAGTAACTAAAGTTACATTTACCTCAATGGAAATGAGACCCTATTTAATGCAGCAGGACGGGGCTTCTACT